TTTGAGTAAACTCCGGGAGTTGGTGATGGACAGGGAGGCCTGGTGTGCTGTGATTCATGGGGTCACAAAGAGTTGGACCCGACTGAGCAACTGAACTGAAGCAGCTGAGAGCAAGGAATATTATGAATAAAATAAAATGCAAAAAAGAACCTCAAAATCTTAAATGGATCAAGAAAAAGAAAGGATTAGTATTGATTTAGTAGATAAGAACTCTGAAATTATCCAATGAGAAGAAAACCAAGGGAAAACAGTAAAAAAGAGTGAAGGAAGCTTCTGTGAACTAATGGGACATCATCAAAAGGAAAACAATCCGAAAACCATTGGTGAACCACAGGAAAAGAGGTGGAGCAGGAGACAGAAAACTTATTTAGATAAATAATGGCTGAAAGCCTCCCAAATATAGAGACAGATTTGTAAATCCTAGTTCATGAAGTCATAGGTCTCCAAACAAATTCAACATAAAAAAGATCTTCTCCAAGATACTTTATAACAAAACTCTCTTTTTCAAAGACAAAAACTAAAGCTTAAGAGCCATAATAGAAAACCTTTTAACTTGCAAGAAAACCTGATCAGACTATAAGCCAATTTACTAGCAGAAACCATACAAGCCATGAGACTGTGATGATATATTCAAAGTAAATGGAAATAAAAGAAATGCAAACCAAAAATACTCTATCTAACAAAGTTGCTCTTCAGAAACGAAGAAGAGATAAATACCTTTCCAGATAAACAGAAGCTGAGACAGTTCATCAGTAGAACACCTGCCTTACAAGAAATGCCAAAATGAGTTCTTCAGGCTAAAATAATAGGATGCCAATTAGTTACATGAACACATATGAAAATATAAAGCACAAGGGAAAAATAAGTTCATAGTCAAATTTAGATTACTCTAATACTGTAATATTATGGAGTGTTTACTACAAAGATTAAAGGACAAAAGTATTAAAAAAAAAAAGACTATAGCTATGATTTGCTAAAGCACAACAGTATAAACGAGGCAAGCTGTTACATCAAAATGAAAAAAGGTGAGGGAGTACAAAGAGTTTTTTGTATGCAATCAAGGTCAGGTTGTTATCAGCATAAAACAAATTTTTCCATCTATAAAATATTTTATATAAGCCTCGGGATAACCACAAAGCAAAAACCTACAGTTTAAAGATAAAAGCATAAAGACATCACTGGGCTTCCGAGGTAAAGAACCTATTTGCCAATGCAGGAGACACAAGAGACATGGGTTCAATCCTTGGCTTGGGAAGATCACCTAGAGGAGAGCAACCCACTCTAGTATTTGTGTGCGGAAAATCCAATGGACAGAGGAGCCTGACGGGCTACAGTCCAAAGGGTTGCAGAGTTGACTGAACTCTGAACATGACTGAAGTGACCTAGCATGCACACAGGCAGACACCACCAAAAATTCACAGAACCGATCAGTGAATTCAGCGAAGCTGCAAGATACAAAATCAGCATACAAAAGCCTGTTACATTTCTATACACTAACAATGAAATGTCCCAGGGAACTATGAAAAACAATTCCATTCACAATAGCATACAAAACAATATAATACTTATGAATTAATTTAACCAAGGAGATGAAAGATCTGACACTAAAAACTACAAGGTTCTGATGAAAAAAAATTGAAGGAAATACAAAGAAATGGAAAGATATTTCATGGCTACGGATCCAGAGAGTTAATATTCTAAAAATGTCCATATTACTCAAAGCCATCTATAGATTACATGATATCCCTATCAAAATTCCAATGGTATTTTTCAAAGAATCCTGCTATTTGTATGCAATCACAAAAGTTCCCAACTAACCAAAGCAGTCCTGACAAATAATAAAGCTGGAAAATCACATTTCTAATTTCAAACTACATTATAGTGACACTAATCAAAACATAAAAATGTACGTGTAGACCAACGGTACAGAATGCAGAGCAGAGAAATAAGTTCTTGCCTATACCATCAACTAGTATTTGACAAGGGAGCCAAGAATGTCCAATGGGGAATGCAGAGTTTCTTCAACAAATGGTGCTGGGAAAGCGAGATAATCACATCAGATATAAAATTGAACCCCTATCTTACACCTCCCTGGTAGTTCAGTTGGTAAAGGACCCAGGTTCGATTCCGGGGTCGGGAAGATCCCCTGGAGAAGGGATAGGCGACCCACTCCTGTAGGGCTTCCTGGTGGCTTAGACAGTAAAGAATCTGCCTGCAGTGTGGGAGACCTGGGTTTGATTCCTGGGTTGGGAAGAGCCCCTGGATGAGGGCATGGCAATCCACTCCAGTATTTTCACCTGAAGAATCCCCATGGACAGAGGAGCCTGGCAGACTACAGTCCGTGGTCTCACAAAGAGCTGGACATGACTGAGTGACTAAGCACAGCACGTCTTACGCCGCTCACAAAAATTAATTCTAAATAGATTAAACATTTGAACATAAGACCTGAAACAATAAAACTCCTAGAGGAAGACTTTGGTTAAAAGCACCTTGACTTTCATCTTGGCAACATAAGCTGCAATAGCATAATTTGTGCACACCAAATGCACAAGGAGCAAGAGAAGAAACACAACAGTTTTCAAACTAAAAGGACTTCTGAGTAGCAAAAGAAACAATAAAATGAAAAGGCAACCTACTGAATGGGTGAAAATGTTTGCAAACCATATATCTCATAAGGGATTAATGCCAACAGTATATAAGGAACTGATATAACACAACAGCTATTAATAAAACAATCCAATTAAAAAATGGGCAGAAAACCAGAATACATATTTTTCCAAGGAAGACATATAAGTGGCCAATAGGTACATGAAAATATGCTCAGCATCATTAATCAAAATGCAAGTCAAAACCTAAATGAGATATTACTTCACACCTGTTTAGAATGCTGCTTCTGCTGCTAAGTCGCTTCAGTCATGTCCAACTCTGTGTGACCCCATAGACGGCAGCCCACCGGGCACCATCGTCCCTGGGATTCTCCAGGTAAGAGTACTGGAGTGGGCTGCCATTTCCTTCTCCAATGCATGAAAGTGAAAAGTGAAAGTGAAGTCGCTCAGTCATCTCCGACTCTTCACGACCCCATGGACGGCAGCCTACCAGGTTCCTCTGTCCAGCGACAACCAAAAAGAGATATCAAGTGTTGGTGGCAATGTAGAAAAAAGGGAACCCTTATGCACTGTTGATTGGAATGTAAATAGGTACAGCCATTATGATAAACAGAGTGGAGCTTTCTCAAAAAACATAAAAACAGAATGATCATATGATCCAATAATCTCACTTCTGAGAATATGTCCAAATGAATACAATTCAGATCTTTACATCATATCTGTACTTCCATGTTTATTACAGCATTATTCACAGCAACTAAGATATGTTCATCATAGATGAATGGATAAGAATAGAATATTATTCAGGCATACAAAGAAGGAAATCCTGCCAGTTGCAACAGCATAGATGGATTTGAGGGCATTATCCTAAGTGAAATAGACAAAGACATTACGATATCACTTATAGTGAAAGAGAAAGTGTTAGTCACTCAGTCATGTACGACTCTTTGCGATCCCATGGATTGTATCCTGCCAGGCTCCTCTGTCCATGGAATTTTCCAGACAAGAATACTGGGATAGGTAGCCATTCCTTTCTCTAGGGGATCTTCCCAATCCAGGGATTGAACCTGGGTCTCCTGCATTACAGGCAGATTCTTAACCATCTGAGCCACCAGGGAAATAAGATTAAAGAGGAGTGTGAGAGGAGCATTTTGTTTCCCAAAATCTTCCCATGTCTTGAAGTAGCTTACAAAATGTTTAATGTTTTCTGTTACAGTCAACACAGTACTTTTTCTCAGCCTCTTTCCAACTCCTATTGCACCCCATCACATTTAGATCTAAAGCCAACTTCATAAATGATTTGTTGCAGATTGCAGTTTCCAAGGATGATTTCAAAATTATGTCCCATTCCATATATTCTCCTGGAAACGTGCTACCTCTTCATCAAAAGTGGACTCCAATGTCTTTTCACTTCAAGCCCGAAACATTGCTGTGTGATTTCCAAAACTAAATCAGAAACAGAGGTATTACTTACGTCATGGTTGGTAGGACACTCCAATGAGAGCCATGTAAATAGTTCTGCCTAGAGGCTACTATGTCGCAAAGGTGCACAAGGAGACTCAAAGCCAGTGCCACCAGATTTAGTCCTTTCCAAACTTATGACCAGAGATCATGCAAGACAACCACATCATTGTTATTGTTTAAAGCCACAACAGCTGTGAAGTTTGGGGGTAAGTTTTTTTTTTTTTTTTAACGTGGCAATAGATAACAACGACAAATTTTGGTATCTGAAAGTGGGTTATTGCTGCAACAAAAAACTAAACCTTTGAGAAAGGAAGGCAGATAGATGCTAGAAGAGCCTTGAGACGATGGATATTGCAACCTAATAAGCCTCCATGAAACTGTCAGTAAGGGCTTAAAGGAAAGAAAAGAAAATATTTCTGGAAGCCGGAAGAAAAGAGATTCTCATTCTGTACTAGCATAGAATTTGACAAAACTGTTAACTGAGGTAGCAAGGATGATATAGGACATATATTTCACAAACTTAGTCATCAAGCTAAGCAAATTCCCAGACAGAATAATTAAAGCACAGTCTTTTTTATCCTTTGTGCCAAGGATAAAATGAGACAGAGGAGATATAAACTAAAGAACAATTATTTAATCCTGAATGGAATTTAGAGGAAATTTAAGAGACTCAAAACACATTTTTTTCCCCCTCTCTCAGAAATCAAAGAAATTTCAAAATAAAAATAAGTTCTAGAGACAGAAGAAGATGGTGGAGGAGTAAGACGGGGAGATCGCCAACCTCCCCCCAGATACATCAAACACTCATCAAGATGTATAACAAGCCCTACAAAGCAACCTCTAGGAGACAGCAGAAGACCCCAGGCCTCCCAGGGGACAGGCTAAGCTCCCTGAGGTAACAGAGAGAAGGGAGACATAAAAAGCGAAAAGATGGAAAACTTCTGGGCAGGAGCTTGTGCCCTCGGGGAGGGAGGGAGCCCTGGAACAGGAGTTCCCGTGCCCAGGGAAGCTCCTTCACAGGCGGGCCCAACCGGGAGCTGCGCAGTCTTGGAAAACCAGGCAAAGCAAGGACTCAAGTGCGTTAACAGCCCGTGGACTGTGGCGCCAGACAGACGGCGGGCTCCCAGACGGAGAACCGCGCAGCAGGCAACCCAGCGGGCGCACACAGCCCCTGCGGTACAGAGGGCAGGCCCAGGTAGCAGGCAAACAGCCGGCGCCAAGGGCGGGACAGGGGCGCCCGCAGAGGGGCGGCATACAGACGTGGGCAGCGCACACAACCCTCCCGGCACAGCCCTGCGACCGAGAGTGCAGGCAGTGAGCCGAAAGAAGCCCACGCTGGCCCTGCAACGCAGAGGCCAGCCCGGGGAGCTGAAAAAGGGCACACAAGCCCCGCGACGCAGAGGGTGCACCTCGGAACCGGGAGCCGAGTCACATGCACACAAGCGCCGTGGAGGGGAAAGTGAGTTTAGGGGGAAGGGAAGCCCCCACACATCTCCGCGATGCAGGAGGATCCGCACAAGCGCCTGCCTAGCAAGTTTCAGCCAGCAGTGCAGGGCGGGACAGGGAAACAGAAGCACCGGCCGTGATCCCAGGGACGAGCAGGCAGCTGGTGGCACTGCAGTTAGGCTGAGAGGCCCACCTTGAAGCAGCTGCAGAAATAGACGCCACGAAAGCTAGAACTACGCCCCAAGGCATACTGAACCCATGGGCACTCCAAAACCTACTACGGGATGCCGCACTGTCCTTCAGAGAGAGGAGATCCAGCTCCATCAACCAGAACACAGCCACAAGCTCCACCAACCAGGAAAACATCATAGGACATTAACCCAACCCCATCCACAGGGGTAGACTCCACAACCAAGAACCACAACCTTGAGAACCTTTTTGAATTTTTTTTCTTTTTTATTTTCCTCTTGTAAATCACATTCTTTATTCCCCTAATATATCTCCACCTACACACTAGACTTTAGCGGTGCTGTGGAGTTTTCTTCTTTGTTTTTCTTGTTATAAAAAAAAAATTTTAATATCATTTTAAGATTTTTTCTTCTTATAAATCACACTGCTTATTCCCCAACATATTTCCACCACCATTAGCTTTTGGCGGTGCTGTGGAGTTTTCCTTGTTTAAAAAAAAAAATTCACTTAAAGACTTTTTTCCTTTTTTTCTTATAAATCGCACAATTTATTCCCTCTACATATTTCCACTTCCATCTTAGCCTCTTGCGGTGCTGTGGAGTTTTCCTCTTTGTGTGTCTTGTCAAAAAAAAAACAACAAAGAAAGAAAGAAAAAAATTCATTAACAATTTTTTTCTTTTTCTTACTTCTGTTTTCTTAATACGTTTTTTGGGTTTTGTTTTTAATATATTCAATTGCCTCCCCTACAGTTCTTTACCTACTGTAGCTATTCCCAAATATATATAAATCTTTCCCACATACATCTATTCATCTTTCCTTTTCTATTTTTTCTTTTCTCTCTTTTAAAATTTTTTAATTCTCTTCTCCACCCCTTCCTTTCCCTTTCTCCCTCCCTCTGCTCTTTCTTTTTCCCCTCTTTTTCATTCTCCCTTTCCCTTCTCTCTTCCTCTTTCACCAGGTGGGCAGCTTGCTGAGGTCTCTGTGCGCTGTCCCCGCGGGCCCTCCGCGCGCGCTCAGATCTCCGAGTTGGTCCTTAGTAACTGTGATTTCAGTTGGTTTATATCATCTCTGGTTTCCCTCGCTCACCAAGTCAACCTCCTGAACTCTTTTCTTTAGAACACTGGTTATAACTGTATGTGTGGAAGTGTGTGTGTATATGGCCCAGTATTTCCATAATTACCTGCTTGATTTCCTCCCACTAGACACAGGCACAAGCCACCCCCAACAGACCACCCAACCAACATTTTCCTCCAAGGGCAAAAATCAAAAGGAAGAAGTAATACAACCCTAAAGCCTGAGAAAAAGAGACCACAAGTGGAGCGAGTTGGAGAAAAAAAAGATGAAAAGACAGAGAATACAGCACAAATGAAAGAGCAAGGTAGGAACTCTTGGCCAAATAAACGAAGAGAAAATAATTAATTTCCCTGAAAGAGAATTCAGAATAATGATAGTAAAGATCCTCCAAAGACTTGAAAATAGAATGTAGAAAATGCAAGAAGCATTTAACACAGTTAATACAATCACCAGGGACATAGAAGAAATAAAGAATAAGCAAACAGGGATGTATAACACAATTACTGAAATTAAAAATACTCTACAAGGACCCAATAGCAGAATAAGAGGCAGAGGAATGGATAAGTGAGCTGGAGGATAGAATAGTGGAAGTGAGCTGGAGGATAGAATAGTGGAAGTAACTGCTGAAGAGTGGAATGAAAAGAATTGAGAAAGCCTCAGAGACCTTAAAGTACTGAAAGAGAAAAACCTACAACCATGATTACTATACCCAGCAAAGGTGTCATTCAAAAGTGATGGAGAAATCAAAGCTTTACAGACAAGCAGAAGTTAAGAGAATTCAGCACCACCAAAGCAGTCTTGCAACAAATACTAAAGGGACTTAGATTACCAGTAAACACAAGAGAAAGGAAAGACCTACAAAAACAGGCAGAAAACAATTAATAAAATGCCAATAGGAACATATATATCAATAATTACCTTAAATGTAAATGGATTAAATGCATCAACCAAAAGTTACAGACTGAATGGATACAAAAATAAGACCCATATATATGCTGCCTACAGGAGACCCTCTTCAGACCTAGAGACACATACAGACTGAAAGTAAAAGGATGGAAAAAGATATTCCATGCAAATGGAAACCAAAAGACAGCTGGAGTGACAATCCTTATTTCAGACAAAATTCAGACTTTAAAGAATATCATAAGAGACAAAGAGTAATATTACATAATGATCAAAGGATCAATCCAAGAAGAAGACATAGCAATTGTAAATGTCTATGCACCCAACATAGGAGCAACTCAGTACATAAGGCAAACATTAACAGGCCTAAGAGGAGAAATTGGCAGCAACACAATGATAGTAGGGGACTTTAACACCCCACTTTCACCAATGGACAGATCACCAAAACAGACTCAATAAGCAAACACAAACCTTAAACGAAACATTAGACCAAATGGACCTAATTGATATCTTCAGGACTTTCTATTCAAATGCAGGAGAATACACTTTCTTCTCAAGTGCATATGGAACATTCTCCAGGATAGACCACATTTTGGACCACAAATCAAGCTTCAGTAAATTTAAGAGAACTGAAATTATATCAAGTATCTTCTCAGACCACAACACTATGAGACTAGATATCAACTACAGGAAAAACAACAACAACAACAACAACAACAAAAACACAAACTCATGGAGATTAAGCAATCCATTACTAAATAGCAAAGAGGTTACTGAAAAAATAAGAAATGAAAAGATTCTTAGAAACAAATGACAATGAAAACATGACGACCCAAAACCTATGGGACTCAGCAAAAGCATATTTAAGAGGGAGGTTTATAGTGATACAATAACACCTCAAGAAGCAAGAAAAGCATTGAATAGACAGCCTACCTCTAAGTCTAAAGCAGCTGGGAAAAGAAAAACAAGAAATCCCCAAAGTCAGCAGAAGGAAGGAGATCATAAAAATCAGAGCAGAAATAACTGAAAAAGAAATGAAGAAAATGATAGCAAAGATTAATAAAACTAAAAGCTGGTTCTTTGAGAAGATAAACAAAACTGACAAACCACTAGGCAGACTCATCAAGAAAAAAAAGAGAAAAATCAAATCAATAAAATTAGAAATGAAAAAGGAGAGGTCACAACAGACAACACAGAAATACAAAGGATCATAAGAAAATATTATGAGCAACTATATGCTAATAAAATGGACAGCCTAGAAGAAATGGAAAGATACTTAGAAAAGATCAGCCTCCCAAGACTGAACCAGGAAGAAACAGAAATTATGAACAGCCCAATTACAAACACTGAAACAGTGATCAAAAATCTCCTCAGAAACAAAAGCCCAGGGCCAGATGGCTTCACAGGGAAATTCTATAAAACATTTAGAGAAGAGATAATGCCTATTTTTCTGCAGAGGAAGGAACACTTCCAAACTCATTCTATGAAGCCACAATCACCCCAATACCAAAACCAGGAAAAGACAACATGAGAAAAGAAAATTGCAGGCCAATATCACTGATGAATATAGATGCAAAGTCCTCAACAAAATTCTAGCAAACAGAATCCAACAACACATTAAAAAGCTCATATACCATGATCAAGTTGGGTTTATTCCAGGGATGCAAGGATTCTTCAATACATGCCCATTGATCAACATGATACACCATATCAACAAATTGAAAGATAAAAACCATATGATCATCTCAATAGATGCAGAAAAAGCTTTTGACAAAATCCAGCATTCATTTATGATAAAAATGCTTCAAACAATGGGCATAGAAGGAACCTACCTCAACATAGTAAAGACCATATATGAAAAGCCCACAGCAAACATTATTCTCAATGGTGAAAACTAAAAGCTTTCCCTCTAAACTCAGGAACAAGACAAGGATGTCCACTCTCACCACTATTATTCAACATAGTTTCGGAAGTCCTAGCTACAGCAATTAGAGAAGAAAAAGAAATAAAAGGAACCCAGATCAGAAAAGAAAAAGTAAAATTCTCACTGTTTGCAGATGACATGATACTATATATAGAAAAGACAAAAGAAACTATCAGAAAATTACTAGAGCTAATTAGTGAATTTAGAAAAGTTGTAGGATACCAGGTCAATACACAGAAATCACTTGCATTCCTATATACTAACAATGAAAAATCAGAAAGAGAAATTAAGGAATCAATGCCATTTGCCATTGCAACAACAACAAAAAATAAAATATATAGGAATAAACCTACCTAGGAAACAAAAGAACTTTATACAGAAAACTATAAGACACTGATGAAAGAAATTGAAGATGACATAAACAGATGGAGAGATCGTCCATCTTCCTGTGTAGGAAGAATCAATATTGTGAAAAAGACTATACCACCAAATGCAGTCTCCATATTCAGTGCAATACCTATCAAATTACCAATAGCTTTTTTCAAAGAAGTAGAACAAAAAATTTCTCAATTCATATGGAAATGCAAAAAACCAAGAATAGCCAAAGCAGTCTTGAAAACAAAGAAGGGAGCTGGAGGAATCAACCTTCTTGACTTCAGACTATACTACAAAGCTATAGTCATCAAGAGAGTGTGGGACTGTCACAAAAACAGAAATGTAGACCAATGGAACAAGATAGAGAACCCAGAGATAAACCCACGCACCTATGGGTACCTTATTTTTGACAAAGGAGGCAAGAATATACAACGGGGCAAAGACAGCCTCTTCAATAAGTGGTGCTGGGAAAACTGGACAGCAACGTGCAAAAAAAAATGAAATTAGATCACTACCTAATGCCATGCACAAAGATGAACTCAAAATGGATTAAAGACCTAAATGTGAGACCAGAAACTATTAAACTCTTAGAGGAGAATATAGGCAGAACACTTGATTACATAAATTAAAGCAAGATATTCTGTGACCCACCTCTAAGAGTAATGGAAATAAAAACAAAAATAAACAAGTGGGACCTAGTTAAACTTAAAAGCTTTTGCACAGCAAAGGAAAC